CCCTTCGCGGCCCCTCGTACGGCCCCCTTCGAGGCCCCTCGTAAGGCCCCTCGTAAGGCCCCTTCGCGGCCCCTCGTCAGGCCCCCTTCGCGGCCCGTTAGGCCCCTTCGCGGCCCGCCCCGGCCCTTCTTCGGCCCCGTCCCGGCCCTGTCCCGGACCTGCCCCGACCCAGGCCCCGCCCTCATGCCGGTCGTGGCGCACCAGGGGCCCGTGCACCGCCCCCCCCCCCCTTTTCCCGTCGCCTTACGTGGCGACCCGGGGGGGGGGGGGGCGCTGGGGGGGCGCGCGTCGCCCCTTCTTCCGCCTGCTCTGGCGCCTTGGGAGGCCGCGCATCGGCCCCCGTACTCCTCCCCCCCCCCCCCCCCCCCCCTCAGGTCGCCTCAACAGGTGACGGGAGGGGCGACCTGGGGGGGGGGGCACGCGTCGGAGCAGCCGCCCCTGGTGCAGCCGCCCCTGGAGCAGCCGCCCCTGGTGCAGCCGCCCCTGGTGCAGCCGCCCCTGGAGCAGCCGCCCCTGGTGCAGCAGCCCCTGGAGCAGCCGCCCCTGGTGCAGCCGCCCCTGGAGCAGCCGCCCCTGGTGCAGCCGCTCCTGGACCTCAGCAGCCGCCCCTGGCCCCTGGAGCAGCCGCCCCTGGAGCAGCCGCCCCTGGTGCAGCCGCCCCTTGTGCAGCCGCCCCTGGAGCAGCCGCCCCTGGTGCAGCAGCCCCTGGAGCAGCCGCCCCTGGTGCAGCCTCCCCTGGTGCAGCCGCCCCTGGAGCAGCCGCCCCTGGTGCAGCCGCCCCTGGAGCAGCCGCCCCTGGTGCAGCCGCCCCTGGAGCAGCCGCCCTTGGACCCGGTGCCGCCGCCTCCCTGTGCTGCCCATTGCCGCCCGTTGCTGCCCGTTGCTGCTCCCCCCCCCCCCCCCCCCCTTCTTCGTCTCCCTGCTGCGCGTGCAGCCGTGGAACGGAGGGTATGGGGGTGGCGGGTCTGGGGTGATGGGTGGTATGTTTCCCTTCCCCTCCTCCTCCTTTGTCTCCCACTGCTGCAGCTGCCGCTGAGGGGGGTGGATGTGTGGGAGTCAAAGGCGTGGTGCTAGGGGGTGGGGTGTGAGTGAACCTAGGGGTGCAGCAGGGGGTGTGTGAATGGGGGGGGCGGCAATAGAGGGAGGTTGGGTGGAGGTAGCCGTCGTGTTGCTAGCAGTGCCAGTAGTCCGGAGGTGCGCTTCCGGTAGCCCAGTGATGCCGCTGCGCCAGTCGCCCGTGGGTCCGTTGCTCCTGCCGCTCGTCTTAGCCGCGGAGCCAGTTACTCCTGTAGTCCGGAGGTGCGCCTCCGGTAGCCACAGTGCGCGCCGCTCCTGTTGCCCGTGTGTCTGCAGCTTCCGCCGTTGCCTCCTCTCTCCTCTCCTATTAGTCCAGCCTCCTCCTCCTCACTTGCCCTCTGTGATAGCCTCTAGCTTTGCTTATTCATTGTGAACTTTAAACTGTTACTTCTTGTACTTGTGCTCAGAATGTGTGGTGACATTGTGATCCACCCCGAGCTTGCTTTGCTTTGCTTCTTGTGCTGATCATACCCCACTTTGACTATGGGGGTGTGTCAGAATATCATGTTTCTCTAGTCTGCAGTGGGGTACTCCATAGTGAGTACAACCCTGTTAGGTTTCCTATATGTACTCAATTGCTTTCTAGTGCATTCATTCCTACTCAATATTCTCACACAGCTCGCACCATTACGCTGACGCAGGCGTATATGGTCGAGCAGATCCTCACGCGGTTTCACTTCCCGTTCTCCAAGGAACAGCTCAGCCCTCCCCAAGGAGCAACTAACTCGTTCTCCTGGCCGGCATACGCGCAACCCTTGGACCCCGTGACATCCTTCCTCGTCCCCCCTCGAGGGGTATTACACTATAAAAAGCGGGGTAGGCTATGAAATAAGCTCTGATACCAGGTGTTATGAATGAACTTGCAGAGTGCGCAGGATAACGAATAACGAAAATGTGAATTGCTGAATGACGATACAAGGAAATTACCGATACTAAATAGGGGAAAACCTAGCTAGGTGGGAAGGTCGGGCGAATGTGGCTCGGAAAGGATGCATTTGGAGCGGGGGCGATTCGGGCGTGGGTTAGGTGCGGAATTGTTGGCCGAACCATCTGACACGTGGCCCTCGGAATTTGACCCGCTGTAGTGCGAGTAAAGGAATTGTAATTCCTTACACTAGGCATCCCTGATGTAAAAGCGACCCTTCATGCGGATTTCCCCAGCGGCTGAATTCCAGCCCAAACCGCATTCTTTGCCCTTGACACCACTTTTCACCACACAATCCTGGCCCGCTGATCTTTATCCTTGATACTGCCGTAAAGTGAGCAGGGAAGAATCTTTGGTCCTTTTTGCCATGGGGGGAGGGATGTGCACCTCATGTTCAAGGAACAGTAAGTATCTTATCCATGCTCCACTTTCCGCCGAATATATCTCAGCCAGGGCAAATCTTTCATTTTTGAAGGCATGGAAGGCTCCGGGCTCGCCTGAGAAAAGACCCTGAATAATCAGCATTCCCTCGAACGTTTCCCTTCCGCGTCCGTGTGTTTTTTCCCAAAATCCGAAAATGCACAACTGCAGTTCACACCCTAGGCGCAAGAGGCTCTAAAAATTCCAAGTTGGATGGGCAAGGACTAACAAATCTAACACTTACATCATGTCTGACAGCACTTATAGGCATCGTTGCATTCGACATCCCACATAAAAACTAGTACCGAGCTAAAATCTCAGGATTGTTCTCAAAACAATACGGAAGTTCTCGAATGCTCGGCCAAATCATCCGGAAATGTTCCGGATGATTTCTAGACCAATCCTGATGAATCAGGGTTCACCAACAAAACATACGGAATGTACCTGAGTTTCAGGATGTTTACCCTGATACCGAGAGCCCTGATCTCAGCGGACAAGCGAGTCCACCCGGGGGAGCTCGCTGCCCGCGGGCAAAACAAATAAAACCCATTCGGGCATGCATCCCGTCAGGGAGGCATCAACCCTAAACACAGGGAGGCATGGATTTAGGGTTGATGCCCCTCCCTCGGATGGCATGCCATCCGATAGGGTTTTAGTTTTTTTCTGCCCGGGGCAGCATGTCGTCAAGTCGTCAACGGTCGTCAGGCCTGACGACCCGTTTCCGCTGGGATATTCCGCACTTAATGTACAGTTTCTCAAATCCGTCCCGTCCCGTACTGTACAGTTCCATCCTTCACCAACCTCCTAAGTCTGTTACCTCGCCACACCATCATCAGGTTTTTCATTCGGAAAGAAACATCCGAAGGGCGTGTGGCTTTTCTGTCTTTTGACGGTCCGATTTCTTTACGCAGACGGTATCCCGCTTTGGTGGATTGTCGCTTGGCCTCCAATTCGATAACGAGCATGGACGGTCCGAAATGTGAGCGAGATACCCTACTCGCCGGAACCTTGTTCGAAACGAAAATGTTACACATCCTTAGATTGTATTTGCATCTCGATTTGTTCATCCCACGCACCGCCCCTGAGACTCCGCTTGCGCCTGGACTTCGGACGTGGGGTCAATTTTGGTGCACCCCGACTTTGACCTGTCAGCACTAGGGGCGAGGCTATCCACATGAATTCCTTGGCTCATTCCGTTGGAACCCTAATCGCCTGACATCGCCTAACATCGCCTTAGAGCACTCGTTGGAACCCTAAACATCGCCTTAGAGCTCCTAAAGTAGGCCGTAGCATCGCGGGTTTCTGTTAGCTCAGTGATTTGCGTATCATCGCCATGTCGGTCAACGGTAGCAGCTTCGACGTTGTTAATATTTCGTCGTAATTCGTGACTTTTTATGATTATTCTAGGTATTATTTCATTATTCTGTCAATACTTTCAAGAAGACCGGAAATGGGGTCAGCACCTCCAGACCTATTAGTACAGCACGCGTTGGGAGCACTAAGCAGCCTACAGGGATTCCCAGGAGGGTCATCACCCCCTCCTCGGCTGCTGTCGCCTCAATTCTCCGGTTCTCTTCACCAGAATTTTGTGCTGGAAAATGAGGAAATAGGTCGGGGTCGTTTCGGCGTGGTGCGGAGGTGTAGACACAGAGCGTCCAATCGACCGTTCGTGTGCAAGTCCATAAGCAAGAGCTCGTTACAGGTGCGTCACGTGCGTTCCGCGTCGTCCTCCGCTGAGTCTCCTTCGTCTGTTCTTTACGTGTCGAAGGTGTCTATCCTGAATTTATGGCCGCGATATCTTCGCGTAAGCTCCAACGGTTTTTTATTTCCTCGTTTCTTTCAAGCTCGGGTATAGAATTGCGACTCTCCCGAAACGAATCCAAGCCAACGTGCTGACCTTTTTTGCTGCCGCGGCCACTTTCGAGGCGCCTCGGAAGCTGGCCTGCTTTGCTGTCGCGGCTCCAACCAAACCCGCAGTTACAGTCAATCCCGAGGCTAGGTGTTTCAGGAAAACCGCGGACAATTTTAGATTCACTCCTCTGAATATTACAGCTGCTGTAAGCCGAACAGCTGCCGCAATGGCGTTTGCACCTTCGTTATTATCAGCTTCGGCAGTCGCATCTACCCGAATGAATCGTGTATCACCTTCCGTTACAGTCACGCGTCCAGCAGGCATCAAGTGCTCCGCATGTGGGAAAACTGCTTGTTTTTATCACGAGGGGTTTTCGGACCGTCGCTGCCACGTCAGCAGGCTCTGCGAATGCTGACAGTTTCAGGAGACGTCGGCTGAAGGCACGCCGGCTGCGTCGCTGGGTGGTGGCGGTTCTACTGCACGTGTCTATACGCATTATCGACACCGTGCACCCCCCCACCCTCTGTACCCGCACCCTCATACCGTCTCATGCAAGCGTGTCGTTATGGATGTGTCATGCTCGTCTACCTAGTCTACACCGCGTTCGCGCCCTCCCCGCGTGAATTTTGAGGTGCATATAATGCTGTGGGGGGGGGCTGCCGTGTGTGGAGCGAGTGGACGAGGTGGGTGCGGAGCCCCACGCTCTGCCTGCACGTACACGTCTTTATGGACAAGTCTCCATTCCCGTCCTTCTCATGTCCTTCCCCGTCCTCCACCCTTCCCCACCGCCAGTCCGCGCAGCACGTGGAGTCGCTGCGGTCGGAAGTGGACGTGCTGCTGGCAGTGCGCGGGCTGCCGTGCGTGGTGCGCGTGGAGCAGGTGGTGGAGGAGCCGCACGCCGTGCACGTGGTGATGGAGGCGTGCGGGCAGGGCGACCTCTTCGACTACATCGCGCATTCAACGGCATGCCCGAGCCCCACGCCACCTGCCTCTTCAGGTACGGTCCATAGCCGTCCGTCCTTTCCCGTTCTCTCTGCTCACCCACAAGGCTTCCATCTTGTCTTGTTCCCTGCCTCGCTATGTCTTTTCTCCTTTACAGGCAGATAGTGGAGGCAGTGGCGGGATGTCACAGCCTTGGGATAACACACCGAGACATCAAGTGGGAAAACATCGTTCTCTCCCCTGCTTCTTCTGTTCTGTTCCCTGCTTGCCCACTTGCTTGTCTGCTGCCCTGCAGGCTGATAGTGGTGGCAGTGGCGGGATGTCACAGCGTTGGGGTCATCCACCGACACATTAAAACACCCTTCCTCCTCTACCCTGCTTCTTCTGTTCTGTTCCCTGCTTGCCCACTTGCTTGTCTGCTCCCCTGCAGGCTGATAGTGGTGGCAGTGGCGGGATGTCACAGCGTTGGGGTCATCCACCGACACATTAAAACACCCTTCCTCCTCTCCCCTGCTTCTTCTCTTCTGTTATTTGTTCGCTTGCGTGCTTGCTTCCTCCCGTGCAGGCAGATAGTGGTGGCAGTGGCGGGGTGTCACAGCCTTGGCATCATCCATCGAGACATCAAGCCGGAAAACATCTTCCTCTCCCTCAATCCTGCTGCACCTGCTGCTCCTGCTGCTGCTGAGACAACCTTTCCCAATGCTTGCACCAACGCCAGCACTTCTGCTGCTGCTGCTGCTGCTGTTGCTGTTCCTGCTTCTCCTGCTCCAGCCGCCCCGCCCGTTCCTCCCACCAGTCTCCTCATGAGGCTCGGCGATTTTGGCCTTGCTCTGTTCCTGCACACCCAGCCTGGCGCCGAGGCTCGTGGGAGGGTCGGCAGCTCGTACTACATGGCTCCAGAGGTGGTTCGGGGCGGCAGGTACGGGCTGCCAGCAGACGTGTGGAGCCTCGGGGTCATCCTCTACATCATGCTCTCAGGTGCGGTTTGGTGCGGTTTTGTGCTGTTTGGTTTGGTTTGGCTAAGGATTTTCCCTGGTGGATGTTGAGCGTCTTTGGAGCTGCCCGACCAGCAGGGCTTGACATGTGGTCAGACTTTGAGTTGACTCAAAGCACAGCGTGTGGTGAGAGCCTCTGGGATTCATCCTCTCTCAAGCCCTCGGACGGACCCTCCCCAAGTCATCTTACCCCCCCCTCCATCCTCAACGCCAGCTCCCCCCTCACCACCCCCTCCTACCTCTCGCAGGCTTCGTGCTCTTCTGGGAGGCACTTCAAAGCAGACCTTCAAAGCAGACCTTCAAAGCAGACCTTCAAAGCAGACCTTCAAAGTAGACCTTCAATGCAGACCTTCAAAGCAGACCTTCAAAGCAGACCTTCAAAGCAGACCTTCAAAGCCATGTGCTCTTCTCCCCCCTCACTCACTCCCATCCCTCACCATCTAGTCCCTCTTCCACCCCCCTCCCTCCCTCCGCATCTCTCCCAGGCTTCGTGCCCTTCTGGGGAGCCACGTCGCTGCAGACCTTCGATGCCATCTGCTCGGGCCGTCTCGACCTCTCCTCGCCCGTCTGCCTCGCCCTCTCGCCCGCCGCCAAGGCCCTCCTCCGCGCCATGCTCTCCCTCGACCCGGCTGCCCGCCCCACGGCCCACCAAGTCCTCTCCCACCCCTGGCTATCGGTAAACAAGACGGCTGTTGAGGCACCTCAAAAGTCACTCCTCGCCCATCCGTGGGTGCCGGAACACGAGGTGGACTTTGAGACGCCGCAAAACCCCGTGAAGCCAGACCTGGGGAAGGGGTTGGTTGAGACAAGTCCTGGGAAGGGCGTGAGTGACATGGGCCTGGGGAAGGGGTTGGTGGATCGTGGCGGTGTGCTGGCGTTAGATGGTATGGGGGATGATTGTATGGGGGATAATGGTGTGGAAGGTGATGCTGCTGGGGTATGGGGATGTGAGGGTATGGGAGTGCTGGAACGGTCTATTCTAGGGTTGGAGGATCCGCGACTGGACTTGTTGATTGGGGAGGAGTGTGTTGCTCAGCAGACGATACTGTGGGAGCAGCAACAGTGGCAGGAGCAGCAGCGGCGGCGACAGGAGGAGCAGCAGCGGCGACACGAGGAGCAACGGGGAAAGGAGCTGCTATCGCAACACGCAGAGCAGCAGCAGCAGCAACGACAGCAGCAGCAGCAGAAACAAGGGCACTTGGTTTTGCAGCAGCGCCACCAGTACGATATCCTTTCAATGCAGCACGAGGAGCAAGAGCAGGGACAACACCATAATAATCACCATCAGCACCAGCAGCAGCAACAGCAGCAGCACCACCAGCACCACCAGCACCCCCAGCAACAGCAACAACACCAGCACCAGCAGCACCACGAGCAACAGCAACAACAGCAGCACAGCCACCACCAACTCTTCCCCATTCAGCAGCAAGAGCAGGAGCAGCAGCAGCATTTGCTGCAGCGGCAGGCAATTTTACACCAGCAGCAGCTGCAGCTCCAAGCATACGCTGCGGTGGAGGCAGAAGCGCAACGTTTGCTTGTGCGTCGGCAGCAGTTTTTGCGGCAGCAGTTCCTGCTCTTGCACCTGGAGCAGCAGCAGCTGCAGCAGCAGCAGCAAGAGCGGCAGGAGCAGGAGGGGCAGCAAGGGACGCGGGGGGGGCGGAGTAATCAACGGCTGAGATCTTTCAGCTCTGCTGACGTGGAGGGTGGGGGGGGAACGGATCAGGATAGCGGGCCTTCGTCGTCGGGAGAAACGGAGGAGACGAGGGAGAAGGGAGGGGTGAGTGGTTTGAGGGGAGAGAACCGAGAGGGAGGGACGAGTGATGATAGCGCATTTCAGTCGCCTACAAAAGGATTGATGGTTGGCAGGGGAGAAAATCGCAAGGCTATTATAGCAGGTGGTTTTATGAGAGAGGTGAGAGAAGAGAGAGCGGTGAGAGACGATATTATGGCGGGGAAGCAGGCAGTAAAGGAGTCGATGTTGCTGCCGCTGTTTTCACAGGAGATGGCAAGGGGTGTGCGGGTGAGAAGCAGGTCAGGTGGCAGCAGAGAGAGAGCGGGTGGAATGAAGGCTCTGTGGGGACGGAAGGAGCGGGCACCTTTAGATGCGGACATCCCAATAGTTATACCTCCACCAGATATACCTCCACCAGATATACCTCCACCGACCTGGCAGCGGTGGAGGTATCAACCGTTTCAGGCTCGTCGATTCCCCGACTATCCTCCCAACCGTCCAGTACCCCTCTCAAACCCCTTGGCATGCTCTTCCTCAGCTCCCCACTCTGAAGTTGTCGATCTGAGCCTCTCCCTGTCCCTTGGGGATGGCTCTACCACTGCTGCTGCTGCCACTGCTGGTCCCTGGGTCCCCGTCTCTCCCAGACAAATGCCACCTGGGGGTTGCTCTAGCGTTGTTTTTGCTGCTGCTGCTGCTGCTGCTGCTACTGCTGCTACGGCTGCTGCTACTGCTAATGATGCTGCCACTGATAATGCAGCTGCTCCTGCTGCTCCTGCTGCTACTGCTGCTGCTGTTACTGCAACAGCAGCAGGTGCTGCAGTGAAGAGGGGCGTGTGGGCATGGGGCAAGGGTGGGGCGGGTCTGGTGCAAGCCTGGCCGGATTTATCCTCAGATGAGGGGCGTGCATCAGATGAGGGAGGTGCATCGGTGTCCGCAGAGAAGCGTAGTAGTGATGATGGGGAGAGCTGTGGGGACGAGCGAGAGAGGAAGAGGGCTAGGAGGGTTGCGTGGGACGCATGTGGGTTTACTGGCGAGTCAGGGCCGCCCCCTGTGTGTGTGGTTGAGGGGTGGACGGTGCAAGAGGAGGAAAGGGAGGGGAAGATACTTAGGAAGGAGGAAGAGGAGGCTAGAGAGAAGGGGGAATGCGGGGATGGGGAGAAGCGAAAAGGTGGAGACTGGGAGAAGGGGCAACGGGAGGAAGAGAACGAGATGGGTTGTCGACAAGGGAAGGAAACATTTGAAGAGCTGCTGCAGCAGCAACAGCAGCAGAAGGAGCAGCAACTACAGCAGAAACAACAGCAGCAGCAGCAACAGCAGCTTCAGAGGGAGCAATGCAAAGGAGAGGAGGCAGAGGAGGCACGAAAGGGAGAGAGGGGACAAGCAGGGGCTTTTCACAAGCTGCAGCAGCAGCTGTTGGAATTACACCGGCTGGAACAAGCAGAGCGGGAGGGGCGACGGCAGCAGCAGCAAGAGAGTGAGCAGGAGCAAATTAATACTCACAAACTGGAGGAACAAGAGAGAGAGAAGCTACAGCAGCAGCTGCTGGAATTACACAGGCTGGAGCAAGAAGAGCGGGAATGGGAACGGCAGCTGGAGCAGCAGCAGAGGCAGCAGCAACAGGAAGGGGGAACTGAAAGGGCAACTGAAGGGGCAGCTGAACGGATTGCTGAAAGGGCAACTGAAGGGGCAGTTGAAGGGGCAGTTGATGAAACCAGAGCGGACAAGAAGGGAAATATGGAAGGGACGGAGGTGTATGGAAGCAATGAGAGTGCGAAAGAGAAGGCGTCAGACAAGCAACAAAGGCCACAAAGAGTGACTGCTGCCGGTGTAACTGATTGGTGCGTGACTAAATGGCGCGTGACTAAGTCGGGCGCAGATGGGAGGAAGAGTGGTGTGAGTTTGGGGCCTGAGAGCGCTGCTGATGCTGAGAAAAGGCCACATGGACAGGCAGAGGCTACTGACAGAGACCAGGTAGTGCTAAGTGCGATTGGAAAGCCAGTGCTAAGTTCCAGAGGTGAGGCGGACCTGAAGTTGAAAGGAAAGGGCGTGCTAAGCGCAAGCGGCGATGCAGACGTAGTGAAGGGAAGTTTTGGGAGTAGAATGAGAGGCCTTTTGGATGTGCGGCCAACAGGCGGCTCTTTGAACGAGGCGAGCATGGGAGGTGCGAAGAGGAGGCGGCTAGATAGGAGAGGAACAACGCCTGCTGTTGTCCTTGGATTCCACTCCCCCTCTCAATCTCCAGCCCAGCTTCTCCCCCCGCGGCCCGCCGCAGCTGCCCTTCCCACGACCTTTGAGTCGCCTCAGAAGAAACTTCTATCCCCAGATTGTCTTTTCCCGCCTCGGTCCGTCGCAACTGGCCTTCCCACAATCGCCAGCATCTGGGCAGCAGCAGCCGCGTCGGCAGTGGCAGCAGCGTCAGGAGCAGCAGCAGCATCTTCAGAAGCAGCACCACTAGGAGGAGCAGCAGCAATGGCAGCAGTGTCGACACAAAGAACAGTTTTCAACCCCTCCAACGCAAGAATTCGGGCAGAAGAAGCAACAGGAGCAGCAGCGGCGGCGGCGGCGGCGGCAGAAGCCGTGTTAGCGGCAGGATCAGCACAGAACGAAATGCATTTTGAGTCGTCTCAAAGTGCAATTGCTTTCACCTCAAAAGCAGGGTCGTTGGCAGAAATAAATGCAGGGACAAAGGCAGGGACAATGGCAGGGACACATGCAGGAACTAAGGCAGCGGCACAGGCAGGGACAAAGGCGGGCTTCGAGGCAGGGGCAGACGCTGAAGCACGGTTATTGTTGTTATTCTCACCCCTTGGTACTATCACAGGGCAGCAGCAGCGGGCGGGGGCGAGTAAGAGAGCGAGTTCAGTGAGTTGTGTCACCCTGTCGTCTGCTGCTACAGGCGAGCAGGCATTACTTGGCAGAAAGAGAAAGCAATAGCGGGAATAGGGCTTCTCTTTGGTTTTTTGGAACCCTGTTTATCAGTGTGATGTGAATTTTTTTGTTACCCTGATTTTTGTTGGGCTGAAAAGCCCCTTAGGATCTTTGCAGGGGTGAACTCTGGGTAGAGTTGGTGTAGTAGCGGAAGCGTTAATTAAAGAGTTGTGAACCACCTTGCACTAGTATGTGAGGGCAAAGTAAATTAATGATAATAAAAGAGATACAAGCTTTTATAAGAATACAAAGGAATATGAAGAGATACAGTTAACTGTTTTACTGTTGCTGTTGCGGTTCGATACAGTGTCGACTCGGGCAACTGCTCAGTATCGAGACAGTTGGTTGTCCTTGCTGTCGCGCTGCATTTGTCAGGTCAAAGGTCGCTGACCTTTGACTTTCGCGTAACCTCCAACAGTTATTCAACCTCCGAGGGTTGACTCACCGATATTTCGATACGAGCTACTTCGCTTCTGTCTTGGTGTTTCGACACGACAGAGGCGCCTAAATCAGTTGTTTCCAACACTCCCCTTCGCTTCTGGAGTGTCGCTGACGTGGCTCTGTCCAGTCAGCAACATGCAGTATTCGAACTTCTGCTTTCCGAGCTTCTTGGTCAGGTAGTCAGCTGCCATCTCAGACGTGGGGCAGTATGACAGCTCGAGCCTTCCCTTCTCGATCTCATCCTTCACGAAGAAATATCGCAGGGCGATGTGTTTCGTCCTGTTTGCGAAGCCGTTCTTGTTGGCGATGCGAATTGCTGACTGGTTGTCGTAGAACAGGGTAAAGTTGGGTAACTCGGCTAACTTCGCTTCTTCCAGCAGCTCGCGAAGATAGAGTCCTTCCTTGGTGGCTGAGCAGAGTGCAATATATTCTGCTTCAGTTGACGAGAGGGCAATTAATTCCTGCTTGCTCGACTGCCAAGAGATAGGTCCGATAGGTTCGAGGCGGTAGATGTAGCCGGTGCGGGAGCGCCTATTGTCAGAGTCGCCAGCGTGATCAGCGTCGACGTAGCCGATTAACTTAGTCGGTGTGGTTGCGTTCTTGTAGTAAGTTAGGCCGATCGTTGGGGTGCTGACGAAGTAGTGAAGAGCGCGGTCGAGCTCCGCCAGATGTTCTGCTTCAGGCTTCTTGAGGTAGGTGGCGAGCTGGCTTGCGGAGTATGAGAGGTCGGGGCGACAGGTGACGGCTGCGAAGAGAAGACATCCCAGCTTCTTCTGGTATTCTCGTATGCCGGCGGGCTTGAGTAGAGCGGAGCTTCCTTTGTCGTTCCCTGCCGTGTAGCGGTATGGCGTGGAGATGGCTGTCGGTGTGAGCGTAAAGCGTTTGGCGATGGTGTCGGCATATTTCTCGGCGCTGAGGTAGATCGCGTCCTCCTCTTCCCGGATGTTGAGGCCGAGGTACTGAGTGACGGTAGATGAAACTGTGAGCGTGAGATCTCGCTGCAGCTCCCCTTCGAACCAGGTAGTGATGCCGTCATTCGAGCCGATGTAAAGGAGATCGTCCACGTAGACGATTAGTAGGATGTAGTCGTCGTTTTTTGTGAGCCGGTACATGCCTTGATCGTGCGGTAGTTGCTTGAAGCCGATGCGGATGAGGCGAGTGTGCAGGTACTGTTGCCACAGTCGCGGAGCCTGCTTGATGCCGTAGAGTGACTTGAGTAGCTGGCAGACTTGGTTGGGTTCTCTGTGGGAGCCGTGCGGTAGCTCGACGAAAATTTCTGCATCAACAGGTGCGTAGAGAAACGCGTTCGCGACGTCAATTTGTCGCAGCTTCTTCTTCTTCATGGCGGCGATTGCGAGGAGAATGCGTAGTGAGGTGTGGCGGCTAACCGGAGCGAAAGTTTCGGTGAAGTCGCGTCCGTGTTCTTGGTCGAAGCCGCGTACAACCCAGTGAGCCTTAAATTTGTCAATGGTGCCGTCAGCCTTTGTCTTCACACGGAAGACCCACTTCCCGGTGAGCACTGTCTTGTTCCGTGCCACGCCGATAGGAACCACTTTCCACGTCTTGCGTTCCTCCAGTGCCTTCAGCTCCTTGTCCATGGCTTCGCGCCATTTTTCCTTATGCTCCCCCCCCAGAGCCTGTTGAACCGTCGCAGGCTCTTTAGGAATGGCGGTGCCGTGGACTGCGGTGACGAGTCCGAGAATTTGCAGTCCACTCTGTGAGTAGCGGGGAAGATTTGCGTCCTCGGGATAAGCTGCTTCATCTCCCGCTTCTGGATCAGGTATGAAGTTGGGTCCTACTCGTTCTGCTTCGTTGGTGTTGACTGTCGCAGGTGTTACGTAACCGTTGTCGGCGAAATGGTAGAAGGTTTCGGCGTTGACACTTTCGCGAGGGTTATCTTCGTCCATGGGAACGTCCACGGAGCAGAACGGAAGAGGTCCGGCTTCTTCTGATGCGTTGTCCACA